TAAAATGCTGTTATGGATTTCTTTCAGATGGTTTCGAGTTCTTGGAGATTCTGAAGGAGGTAGCCAGAGACAACACTCACCTTCCTGAACTCAGCATCGTCTGGATTGATCCTGATGACTTTCCCCTGGTGAGCAAGACACTTCTAGACTTAGACAGACAGAAAAGAAAGTAGTAAAACATAAAAAGAAGAAAAGCTGTGGATGCATGAAGGATTTAGATCACATTTCGAAGGTCTAATGCTATTTTTTTTTTCTAACTGCTCACAGCTGATTCCTTACTGGGAGAAGACCTTTAAGGTGGACCTGTTCAGACCACAGATCGGAGTCGTCAACGTTACAGACGTGAGTTTCTGAGAACTTGTCAGACCTGATGTAAATGCTGTGTTTATTTTTCTTAACTCTGTCTGACCTCTTTGTGTGTATGTGTTTGTGTTTGTGTGTGTGTGTCTATGCAGGCTGACAGTGTGTGGATGGAAATGGAGGATGAGGAGGATCTGCCCACGGCTCAGGAGCTGGAGGACTGGATTGAAGATGTGCTCTCTGGCAAAGTCAACACTGAGGATGATGATGATGAAGATGATGATGACGACGACGACGACGATGATGATGAGGATGATGATGACGATGAAGAGGAGAATGATGATAATGAGGATGATGAAGAAGATAACGGAGAGGAAGATGATGACAATAATGATGATGACGATGATGATGACGACGATGATGACGACGATGATGATGAGGAATAATTCACAGCCTCAGAATAGTAAACATCACCTCGTCTTTATTCTTCAGGCCGGGTCTAATGTGAATTCATTTTCACTAAGAAATAACTCAATATTTGTACTTAATATGTGTCTGCTATTCATATTAAGAATATTTAATATCTATAAATGTCATTTTTTGACATTGTAAATATGCCTGAAATGGGTTTTGGGATTTAAGTAAAAAAATATATATATACTGGATCAGACATGTGGCAATAAAATATGAAAATAGATTCAATAATATATAAATGTCTGTTAATAATAAAGGACTATCAATGTCACAGTCGTGTCATCAAATACATTTATTGTGTTCATCAAGAAAGCCACAGACCTCAATAGAAACATGACTTATTTCCCTCAGCTGTGGTTCAGCAAAGAGATCAAAACTACTTTTCTTAGTAGGGGCATTTAAATACCGTTCTTGTGCTAAATATTTTAAAGTTCATTTTCTGTGACTTTATAGATTTTACATTTCAGATAGACACTTGCTGACATTATTTTACTATTTACTTATCAGATTAAGATTTTAGAAAACTATACAAAAGTACAGGAACATACTAATACCAAAATATTAGTATAAATTTGAGTTTTTAATCTTTTTTTCTTACCAAGTTATTCATTTTAGAGCTCCTCTATGTCACATATTTGATCTACAATTTGCTTACAGTAGCAACATATTAAAACTCAAACATTTAATTTATAACTTTAACTTGAAATTGCCTATTCTGTCATTTCTCTACTTTTAATTTGACAAAAGTAAATATCTTCTATTCCTCCAAGACTCATGTTTTGAAATGTAATTTCTTTTACTTACCATCTGTTCAGTTACACAAGTGAAGACTCATTGCCTTTAATATCAGTGAACCAAACTGGGTGGTAAACATGTTTTTCACTTTGACTTTGCTTTTCCACCACCTCTTCTTCAAGGTAATACAACTTTAGCTATAGTGTTTGGTTTATCTACAAAAGGTCCATTTTCTGCCCGAGGGGTTGCTGCTTTGAAGTTTTGAAACCACATGCTGAATTTTCCAATTTCAATATAGCAAACCTCTAATCTCTTCTTTAATCTCTCACTGTCATCTTTCTCCAGCCGTTTAATTCCTCACCTGAATCAGTTGAGCAGACACAGCGGGATGAAATCGTCTTTAAGCCTCTGGACAGACAGGAAAGCGAATCTGGATGCTAATTCAATGTTGCTTTTACTTTGCTGCCTTTATTTTCTTTTCTATGATTTATTACTTTCTCCCTTCTCTCTGAACACAAAGAAGAAAATGATATACAGAGGCAGGAGAGGTTTTTTGACCTATGATGGGGTGGTGGGTCTTACACATGCACTTACATTGACCACGTTGATTTAACTTCTTTGAAAATGTATCATAAACAACCATATAGACCATACTGGGAAAAAGCAGTAAAAAAGGCAGAATCTTTCTCAGCGGAAATTTGCATTAAGCACAATTATTGTTGTTCTTTCTGCTCCAAGTTGCCTGATGCAGAATGAAAAAAAGACTTTTAATTACTTTGCAAAGACGACCTATCCTGCATGAAAGTCACATCTACAGACACATCACTGATTATACTCATCAAAAACACATTTTCTCCAAAACAAGGGCAGAAGATGTAAGTTGTGTTGATTATGCCAAACTCTCTAGCTGCATGACACAAACTTTGAGCTCAACAGCAGAGTAAGCATAAAAAATGTTGCTGTTCTTTTACTGTTAACCTCACCACAGTTAATTAACACACTTTCTTTGTCCCAGAGAAGTCAATTATCTGTGGAATAAAAATATTAATTTAATCACAATAACTACAGGCCTAGGTGTAGTTAGACACCATCCATCCATCCATTATCTATACACCGCTTATCCCTCACGAGGGTCGTGGGGGGCTGGAGTCTATCCCAGCTGACTCAGGGTGAAGGCAGGGGACACCCTGGACAGGTCACCAGTCTATCACAGAACAACACTTACAGACAACCAAGCACACTCACATTCACACCTCCGGACAATTTAGAATCACCAATTAACCTCAACATGTTTTTGGACTGTGTGGGAGGAAGCCAAAGAACATGGAGAGAACCCACGCTGCACGGGGAGAACATGCAAACTCCACGCAGAAAGATCCCGCGCGTCCTCACCGGGACATGAACCGGCGACCTTCTAGCTGCAATGGTGCTAACCACCGCTCCACTTTGCAGCCCAGTTAGACACCATATGCATCCTTATCCAAGATTTTGTAGTCATCACAAAGCTACTGCAAACTAGTACTCATATTTGAAAGTGAATCCATTTTCCAAATGCAACTGAAATCCCAGTCTAGTGCTCTAAAACCGATCATTCACTGTACTAGCAGGCAACACACTCATTGATCATTATTACATGAAAATACAACAATAATCAAATGCCCTGAAAAGGCCAATACAAATATTTATTTTTTTACAAATGTGACTTTGACACTGCTGCTATGATTTTACATGTTATGTCGTATAAAAGAAGACGAGGACAACTTGGAACTCATGACTTGTCAGCTGCATCACATTTGGACATTTAAAAAAAACAATCTCTTTTCTTCATTATGCTCTCTTCTTCTTCTTTTTTTTCCTCTTTTACTTTCTCTCTTTCTGTTTCTTACACGCATATGCAGAAACACACACACACTTGAAAACTGAACATCCTAAATATGTATAACTGAGGCACATGTGTAGTCAAGAAGAGAAGGTATTTACAACCATCAACACTCCTAAAACAGTCCTAAGCAAAACTACACCGTCCGTGAGCACAGTAACACTCTTGTAAATAGAATTTTACGACACAACAAGTCTCATAAATACAAAGAGCTTTAAAAAATACAGATCAAATATTCTTACATGTTGGATTGATGCTCAGAATAGTGTTTCCAGTCGTGGTAGGTAGGTGGCAGTAGTGTGACACTCTGGTGTCCACAGACAAAATACTGACTGCAGAAATACTGATATAGGGTTGAGCTAATTTACACTAAATAATTCATTTTTCAACACTTGTCTAAAACTTGTCAGCAGGAGTTGACTCATTATTAATATTGGAGAGAGATTTGGACAGAATCTCTTAAATCTTTTGAAATTGCTCCTGAAATATGGTTTTAAATAATGTATAAGGTTGTGCTTTGTGTTAAACAGGACTCAGTTTGCACCGATGAGCCACAACATTAAAACCACTGACAGGTAAAACAGTGATCATCCGGTTATAATGCAGGGTTTTTCCTTGGGTCCTGGCATTCATGTGGGTGTTACTGTGACATGCACCATCCACCGAAACATTCTTCAAGACCAAACACACCCTCCCAGCAGCAGAACTCCTCAAAGGCTCAGGAATGGCTCGAGGAACACGACCAAGAGCTCAAGGTGTTGACTTGACCTCCAAATTTCCCCAAACCCAATCCGATCGAGCGTCCATGGAATGTGCTGGAATAAATTGATGATCAAATCTGGATCGCCGACCTACAGGACCCCAAGGATCTAATATCAGACAGCAGAGGAAACCCCCAGCGGTCCACTCACCAACGAATCAGAGCCGTTCTGGTGGCACGACAGAAACCTGTACAATATTAGGAAGGTGGTTTTACTGTTGTGGCTGATCAGAGTATGTCCCTTGGCTGACTGGATTTACCTAAAGCAGTTGGGTAACAAACCCCTCACAATGACTCACGATTGAAATCAGGGGTAAATGTTCGGAAATTAAACAGCATTGACTAAAAGCCTAACATCAGATATGAAAAAGTCAACCATGTGAACCTCATTGCCGTCACAACATCAGGACTCTTTGTGGGCCTATAAAAAGATCAGTGTACATTGCACACACAAATATCACGTGTAGTCCGTTGTTTTCCTTCACAATCTGTTGGCTAGACTGTCCGTCTTCCATTGTACTGTGGTTGGCATTAAGTCCGAGAGACTCCTGTGATTTGTCTGACATTTACAAACATGTCATCTGCTATTTACAGTCCAGTTATCTCAACAAATACAGCATAGATAGACAAGGTAAAAAATCTTAGACAAGATTTAAAAAAAAAAAAATAAAAAATCATTCAAGCAATGCACGATTTTGGTATAAAAAAGTTTGTAGGGATAAAGTATATTCACATATAAATACTGTACAGATATCTGCAATACAGAATGAATTAAATAACAGCTAAGACTGGAAAAGAGGAGTTCTGGTGAAACGGGTTCAGTTTATATCAAATGTCCTAGAGACACTCGGGAGAAAGAGGAGACAGGTTAAGACAGACCCAAGTGTGCACTACAAGTAAAAACCAAGCACGCGTTTGCATCCTAAAATCACGCAGTCCCAAACTCTCCTACACAGGCACACACTGGCACATGCAATAAAAGAAGATGAAAGTTTGTGACGGTCATCTGTAGTGCATAGAGGAATCATTTAAATGTGTTCTCCAAAGCCAAGCGTGTCTCCCCTTGTTTTCTGTCTTATATCCTGCTTTCAAGTCTCCCGTGACAAAGACAAAAGACATAAGGATAGCGTTATGTGAGAAAACTACATGAACGTAAGTACAAAAACAGTACAAAAAGTCAGTTTTGAAAAAGTCAGTTGGATAACTGTACCAGTTCTGTATGTTCAGAGCAGCAGCACCGGTCCACTGTGTCACTGTTAAACTGAGGTTTCTGATTGGAGCAGCAGTAAAAACTTGTGCGACTTGGGATCGATGTACTCTTCAGTCAGACGGATGTAGGGGATGCCCTTGACGGTGACAGCTAAGTTAAAGTCAAGGCACCTCAGCAGAAACTCCGTTCCCTCCTTAATGCCGCTGGTGACGGAAGCTTCGCTGACCAAAGTCCACTGATCAGCCATCCAGCGCTCAGGGCCGTACTGCAGGGTCGGACCAGGGGCCAGATAGGCCTCGAGGAAGGCCTGGACACAGAAAAAACATTTTAAACAATCACCGAAAAGTTTATTATAAACCTGGGGATACTTGCATAAAACAATCATTTAATTTTATTACAGGCAAAGTGGTTCTTATTTGCATAGATTTTCCCACTATTCTTAAACTAAAAAAAACAACACTATGCTGCACTCATCATGGAGATGTTCAATCTTCTTATATTTTCTCACTTTTCTATGTCTAGTCCTTAGGTTAGCCAAAGCATTTTTGTGCCTTTATTGAGCACGATAGTGGAGAGAGACGAAAAATACTGGGGATGACAGCAAATGGGAATTACATTAGAATTAAGCTAAAATAACTCTTGTGTGGTATGCACCTTAACCAAAGATAATTTCAAAGCAAAAAACACGGTAAATGGTTAAAGT